GCGGTGATGAATGATAAATTTCTTTTAAATATAAATAATAAAGTAAATTATCTACTTTTGCTACAATTTAATACAATAAATATATACTTAATGCTGAAATTTTTACAAAATTGTAAAAAATTATTTCATGCTGTTAATTTAACCAATAAGAAGATGCAAGATCATTAATGTGACATCAAATTCAATCAATCAAAATCAATACTCATGACTTAATAGATTTTTTAGATGGTGTCATTTTTTTTTAGATACTCTATTCATATCACTTGAAACGAGGTATACTAATATTTCTCCAAGATCATAACTTTTTTGGATATACCGAGTGGTTTTTTTTAGTCGAGGTGGGACCTTCTTCATGTTGTTCAAAATTCAAATAGACACCCACTTTTCGTAATATTACACGACTGGTTCGGTCATTGATGTGACTCGAAAAAGAATTATTCCACTCACTTTGAGGGACACATTCAGACGTGCATGTGTGGTACGTCTCTTTTGCTATAAATCATCCAAATCACTAGCAATAAAAATAATTAGAATAACCAAACCCAAGATTAATCCAATGTTATTACCAATATTATTGCCAGGAGTAATTTCAGTATTGTCAATTTTATTACTAGTATTATTGCCAGAAGTAATTTCAGTATCGTAAATGCTAAGAGTTAAAGGACCTCCACAGATTTGATAACTATTAAATATACAACTACTACTACAATAATCATCACCCAATCTTCTTATACGTTCATATTCATTTCCACAGAAACATTGAGAACCAACCTCTAGTCCAGCAAATGCATAACCCTTTTTCTTACAAAAATTTATACAATAATCAATTGTCATATGAATATTTTCATCTAATGTACCATTCAATAATCTTTGACCACAATTAGGACTTTCTTGAAAACATCCATTATATCTAATATCATTTTTGAGATTATTTATAAGATCACGTTTTTTATCGGAACTTATATTAGACATATTATAACTTGAAAGTCCAATTATAGTATTATAAACAGTATAAGCTTCTTTTCCACCACATTTAAAAGTTGAATTACCAATACAATCAAGATAACAAGTTTCATTATCTAATTGTTGTTTTAAACCATCTTGAAATCCACATCTACATTCATTTGAATTTCTAAGTGCAGAAATGGTATAATTATAATCTTTACAATGAATTAAACATAAACCCGGATCAATTAAATTTCTATCTAAATCATAAAAAGGATTTGTAAAATGACTTTCATCTAAAATAAAACATCCAAGAGAATTACTTGTTGGAATATTTCTTCGAGTATAAGTTTTATTTAAATCGCATACTCCTGCATCTAATCCACTTAATTTGTTGGTAAAGTTTTTTCCTCCAAAAGTTTCAGAAAATGGTAAAACTTTGGCAAGAATAAATTCAATTGAACAAATCAATAAAATAAAAAAAGTGGGAAAAATGATTGAAACCATTGAACTTTATGTAAAATACGATTTAAGAAAGAGAAAAAAAAAAAAGATTTTAAATTAATCATAATTGATCTGAACATTAACAAGTTTGAACATCAAGAAATTTATAAAGAGTAATGAAATATTTAAACACTTTAACGAACCCTAAGACTTTCATTATTGGCATTAAAATTTTAAATCTATTCGTAGGTTGTATCAGATAATGTTAATCAAATGAGGTTTTTGGAATGTTTGTATAACAAGCAATAAATTTAAATTACATATTCAAATAATTTAAGTATAGAATTAATTAAATAATAACTAACTGCCAACCTTATATTATTCTTTAATCCTTTCAATGTAATATGTATTGCAACGCAACTTGTAGGAATGTACAATGTTTACCCGGGAAAATTTTATAAATTTGGCAAAATTTTATTATAACAATTTGTTTGGATAAAAATGGTAGCATTAAAACATTATCTGTTATGTATTTTTATACGTACAAATTTTTAAAAAATGAGAGTTGGACGTGTTGGTGTATGTATTGTAGATTCAGAAGGTCTATGTATATATATATGCAGTGTTATGTAATTCTATGTAATTCTATTTTATTCTGACGTAAATTATATTTGGTCAGAGAAGTTAAAGTTTCGCATAATAAATTTTAACTACATAGTTAAAATTATCCAGAACAAATTCCAACTTTGGATATATAATTAGAGTTATTTACGTTAACATATATTAATGCAGATGTTTAAAGATAATTTAAATAAAAATTAGCAATCTTGATACACAATTTTAACTTGGCAAAAAACGTTTTTCCTCTTTGAGGTCAATAATAATTTGAAAATCATATCGATATACAGTCAAACTTAAATGCAACTTTTATGGACCAAGTTTTTTGTCACATGAGTTTCGTTCCAACAATATAAGTTCAAGATTACTAATTATAAAAGTAACTATTTTTATACCTTCTAGATGCGGTAAATGAGACGATTTGAAACCTTTCTTTTAAAGTTTTTTTTTGTGGAATTTATCTACTCTATTTTGGTTAAGGTATAATATAATATACTTAACGCTAAGGCTGAACCTACCTTGGGGGTTTTTTTTGACATCCACTCAAATATATTTGATATCTTATCATTATCTAATTCTGATACTGTACGATCATAGTTTGACAAAGTTGTATTTTTGTACACATAAAGTTCCGGCTAAAATAATTCCGAATGAACCAGATTCTAAATGGCCGTACATATATGCAATTTTTGTGGTTCAAAATGAATCTATCTATAGTTTGTACGTGAAAGGTAATACGTATGAATTAGGACCGGTTTTCTTTTTGACTGGGAATTAACAAAGTTTATTGTCTTTAATTTTCGAAATCGACTTTTATCCTAAAGTGCATAATGACAATGAATAAAAAAATTTAAAGTTTTTTATATAGTAACCATTTATAGGATAATTTTTGGTAAAACTAGATTATCGTGGGTTATGGTTTTTTTTTTTTTTTATAGTTAAAAAAAAAAGTAAATGGACACAGTTTCATTTAACTTTTGATATCATTTTTGATCTACGTACGTACGTACAAAAAATCAATTGTCGGCACAGGTTTAGGGATTGAAACAGGTTTAAGATGTACAAGATCAATGAAGTTTCGTATGTTAATCCTTTGAAACATGCAAATCCGTTAATATTTACTAATTTAGGTGTTTATTTTTGTACAATGTTACTTTAACATTTATATATTATATATAATAAAGTCAATTCTTTACCTTATATACATTAGTTACAATATTCGACTTGAATTTCTGTTCTAGTCGTATATTTAACAACTCAACAAAAAATTCCGTTGTTTTTTTTTTTAAAAAAAAAAAAAAAAACTTATAAATTATAATGGCATTTAAGTATTTTAAATTGACGAACGACTTAAACTATTTTAAATTTAATGAATTTAAGAGGAGGATTAAACGTTTTAAAAAAAAGACCCAAAGTACTTTAAAAGAGAATGTAAGTTGATGACGAATGCATCAATTAATATTTTTAATTAATATTTTTAATTAAGAGTATTGATATTTTCACATCCCATCGGATCATACTACTTTGTTCTTTAACATAGTTCGTATCTAACATAGTTCGTATCTCAAAAAAAAATATTAATATAATATCAATATAACATGGAACCATTATTTACGTCCCATTCCTCACGAAATTACTATAGCAATTGCTTTAATCATAAATTCGAGTCCGACGGGGTGTGGAACTATCAAATTTCTTAATTAATATTGACTAATTTATTTATAAAGTAATTAATAACTAACTAACTAAAAATTTTTAATAAAATTTTAAATAGTGGGATAAGATAACATCCACGAAATACACGAGACTTTTTGTTATCACCACAATAATACAATGTGTTGCGATCGCTATTCTCCAAGCTTTCATATTTTCACAAAATCAAAAGTTATATTCTGATTGGGCTGAAAACAACTCGACATTTAGCAACTCAAGTCATCGCCCCGATTGTAAAATTTCATCTAACGCGATCCCAAAATTTCCATTCATGAATTTAGACAATATTATATGTATATTTTTTCAAGTTTTCCAATTGTATTTTTGTTTTAATGCGGTAAATATCACATTATCATATTATTACGTGTATCACATATACTTTTTTTTTTTTAAAAAAAAATATATATATTAACATTATGAAGTAATTAGGTGTTTAACGAACATATTGTTCAAATTATAACGATCAATGTCCTTAATTTTGGATTGTCTATATACGGATTTGTAAGTGCATCTTATTTAATTTATTTTAATTTATTTGAATTAAATTAAAAAAAAAAAATTGAAATGAAAATTGAAATGAAAATTTATATTATATAGATTCAAATATATGAAGTTACGATTGTAACAAAAGATCTTGACAACTTTGTAGATTGTATACCACCAGCAACTCAAGGTTATCAAAAGTTACATAAAAGTCACGACCACCTAATTCTTTTGATATCTAGTGTTTTGTGTACAGTCCTTCTTTTTCTTTTCTCAATCACCGTAGCTTATTTATCTTTTAAGTTGTATGATCAATTTGGGTGGAATATTTACAAGAAATTTGGTGGTGATTTAAAAATACAAGGCAAGAAACCTTTATTTTTTATGATAACTAATTTCTTATTTTTATAACATGCTATCATATCTAACATATATACATTTATACAGCAATATACAAGGATTATTTGATCTTTCTCATGTTATTAAAACTTAACTTATTTGCCACCCTATTGTTTCTGCTTGCATCTATTCTTATTCTTCGAATAGACGTAATTGCAGCGACTACAACAACTCCGCTATTAATATTCCATTACTTTGCTACAGCCTTAGTACTTATATT